AAATTTCTATTTAATGCCCCCGAGGGCTAAACATTTTCCAAAAGAGGGGCTATTATTACAACACAGTTTTTCCTAAATCCAAAAATCACTGTAAATACATTTAGTGTTAGCAAGTGGTAATAACATTGAAAAGTGTTAAGGTTTTAAATTTCATATTATACATATTTGTGTTTACTATGAAATAAAATGGATTCTGAATGATTTGAATAAAATTATGGCTTTAATTATGAGCTCAGCACTGATGAGTAGATTGTTTTCCTTATCAAAAGGCCTGGGGGGGGGGCTTTAATAGGGGAGGGGCGTTTATTAGGAATTCTACGGTATTTACGATAGGCACAACATAAAATGACATCTTAGGCAAACAACAACATTTGAATATGTAAACAATATACACACGTACACAAACAATGCATCTTCTATACGAAATGTATAACATTAATTATCATGTAAGCTGTAGAATAATTAATATGCTAAATAAGATTTTGTCTACTAAGATCATTTGAATATCAGCAATTACATCAGTCATTATATTTAAAACATTCAATTGAAAAAAATTAATGAGCTACAGAGAAGTGTCAATGCAGAATTTTACTGACATGGAATCGGATATCAAATAAACAAGCAATTATCATAGTATTGCAAGCAATCCATAAGTCCCCTACCGGTTAGAACCCCAGCAACATTCTGATGGGCCATTCAATTTTACCAGTGGATGAATGACATGAATGAAATTAAATCTTTTGAGTTCTAAGTTTGTCTATATCACAGTAATGTGTTAAGTTTCCCTACCTAGTAAGGAAATTATGTTTATACAACCTTGTCATATTATTACGATGTGGGATTTTAAATGCAATCCTATAAGGAATGAAGTAGTTGGAGTGAAAAATACAAATTTCGCGTAAAAATCTAAGTTCAAGGGGGAGATAATTCTGGAAATAGTCTTGCTAGAGTATTTAACCTTCTCAAAAATGTTGAGTGATAATAAGAAACATATATATGAAGTTTGAAGTAGATACATTAGGAAATAAAGAAGTTATTTAAAAAGACAACTTTTTTTTTCATAAAAATTCTAAGTTCAAGGGAGGTAATACTGATATTTTTTGTGCTAGAGTTGTAAACCTTGTCACATATGATGTGGTTGATGGCCAGAAACTTATATTTAAAGTTTGAAGTAAACACCTTAAGAAATAAAGAACTTATAGTGAAAAAGCATCAGAAATCTTGAAATTCTGGCTATTTGTTGCCATAGCAACCAGAATTTTCAACATAGGAAGAAAAGAAAAAGATGTGCATAATCTCCAGACTGCCATCTGCCCATATTTCAAGTTTCATAAAAATATTTACAGTACTTTTTGAATTATCACTGGATCCAGTTTATGTGTTAAATTTGCCATATTTTCAGACTATTTGTTGCCATGGCAACCAGAATTTTCAACATAGGAAGAAAAAAAAAAGACGTGCATAATCTCCATACTGCCATCTATCCATATATCAAGTTTCATAAAAAAATTTTTTAGTACTTTTTGCGTTATCGCGGGATCCAGTTTTGTGGACGGCCGGACTGACGGACAGACAGACCGACGGACGTTCTCACAGGACAGTAATTATGTGGTTACTCTATTGTTCTCTCTATTGTTCTTTTTAGCCACACAAAAGAAAATAGCCACATAAAAGCATCACGGAATGAATGACATCAAAGAGAAAGAACAGTTACCTATTGTCCCTCTAGCCACATAATTACTCTCCTGTGAGTGCGGACAGACAGACAGACGGACGGACGGAGGGTAAACCTAAAGTCCCCTCCGGTTAAACCGGTAGGGGACTAATAATAATCTTAGCGAAAAGAAAGTAAAGATGTAAATTTTACTTTAATCCATGTAGTTTTATAATTGATTGAATAAGTGATAGACAAATGTATGTTAAGTAGATTTCATAACCTTAGCGAAACGAAATGTAAGATAAAGTATTTACAAAGCTACATGAATAAGGTTATGTTCATTTAGAAATAAAATTAAGATATATTTACTATATAATTTCATGACAACATAATTAGTTTACATACATTGAGTTTGTTTGTTTTGGGTTTTGGGTTTTACGTCACAGTATAGGTCATAGCGTGACGTTCCAGCTTTACTGGCGGAGGAAGACCTCAGGTGCCCTTCCGTGCATTATTTCAGGCACGAACGGGCACCTGAGTAGAACCACCGACGTTCTGTAAGCTAGCTGGATAGCTTCCTCACATGAAAGAATCCAAAGACCCTGTTGGGATTCGAACCCACAGCGGTAAGGGGCAAGTGGTTTGAAGTCAACGACCTTAACCACTCAGCCACGGACGCCCCTATTAATCCATGTAGTTTTATAATTGATTGAATAAGTGATAGACAAATGTATGTTTAGTAGATATCATAACCTTAGCGTAACGAAATGTAAGATAAAGTATTTACAAAGCTACATGAATAAGGTTATGTTCATTTAGAAATAAAATTAAGATATATTTACTATATAATTTCATGACAACATACCGTATAAGTGGTTTTTTCTGCGCAGACTTTATTTCTGCGTTTTCTGCGGTCAGTTTCAGCACCGCAGAAATAAAAACCGCAGAATATTTCTCCACGTTTTTTTTTTTTAAAAGAAATGAGTCCTACATTATGACCTGTTTCCTTTAAAGGAATAAAGACTGACGGATTATAACGGTTAGCGGGTCATCGAGTTATATAAAATTGATTTCGGCTGAATATGCAATATGTGCATGTAAGGATGTAATTGTTGTTAATTATGCCAATTTATGAACAAAGAAATTCAAACATCATAGTGTTTGCATGTACGCTAAAGGGTATGTTTACCACTAAATCATTAAAACCATTTAAACCTTTATACTGCTAAATAATCGTCGTATACATTAATTGTTGTCTGATTTACGATAAACTTCTATCAATTTTATAAAATTAAAGATACTACCGTGGTATATTTTTCACACGTCATTTCACACTGATTTAAAGATGCAAACTGTCTATTGATGCACATTATATTTGTTTGCAAGCAAACAATATAATTGTTTGTAATTACTATATAATATAGTTCTGCGGTGACGACGGTAAACAAAATTTTAATGCGAATGTGTACATGCAAATAAAATAGGTAAAGTAATGTGACTTAGACTTTGATAAGATGAGCCGCAGAATTTAAATCACATTTTGTCCAAAGAATGTGCCGCAGAAATTAAGTCCGCAGAAATAAAAACATGCCAAAATTTTGAAAAACCGCAGAATTTGGAGCCCGCAGAAAAAACCACTTATACGGTAATTAGTTTACATACATCAAGTTTGTTTGTTTTGGGTTTTACGTCACATCGACACAGTATAGGTCATATCGTGATGTTCCAGCTTTACTGGTGGAGGGAGACCTCAGGTGCCCCTTCCGTGCATTATTTCAGGCAAAAACGGGCACCTGAGTAGAACCACCGACATTCCGTAAGCTAGCTGGATAGCTTCCTCACATGAAAGAATCCAAAGTCCCTGTCGGGATTCAAACCCACAGGGTTGAGGGGCAAGTGGTTTGAAGTCAACGACCTTAACCACTCGGCCACGGACGCCCCTACATACATTGAGAGACAATACCAGATATATATTATATATAAAGCTCATTGACTTTAGAATAAGTTAACATGCATACATTGTAAAACAAAATCTTATATATTAGATATAATTTTTTAACAAAGCCTCAGAATTAGTTCACATATATAAATAGTGTATATATCTCAAAGCCTCTTTATGAAATGCCTCATTCTATCTATCAGAGTAGAAAACCCAGAGACAAGCTGGCATAACTCTCACTCAATCTTATATATCTGTAGAATACTTGAAATCCCACGTGATGTATGATGCTTCGGAATTATTCTTTTATAAAAATAAAACAAAAATTTTGTTAACTACAGACAGAAAACATATAGCTTTATACCCTTGAACATATGTATTGCACAATCACAACTTCTTTTAATACATACCATGCTAAAATTATTAAATGGACATTTTGTTTTCTATTCGGACAGCACTATTCATCATTCAGGAAGATTGTGCGGTCTATTAAAAATACCAACTGAATAGCGTACAGCGTATCATGTGGCATTAAAGCTCAGATCATCAAAAATCTATGTCACAATAATTGTGGAGTGTATTACAAATATATAATTACTAACAAATGCTAAGATATATTTTGCTACAATAGTAATTGGAATTTGAAAATACTCAATCTGATAATTTCAAAACAGTATCTTTTTAAAAATGTAGAATAAATATCTTTTGAGTACATCATAACATGCATTATTATTATTATTATCTTTACTTCCTCCATAACTGAAAAACTTTTACATAATATAAAATATTATATGCATATTAAAATTTGTACAATTAGGATCATATATACAGTAAATATAAACACAAGATCTACAAGATGTATAATATAAATCAGTAAAGAAACAGGCATATTTATAATACATGTATGTACAAACATTCATATATTTACTCATACTGAAAGATAACTAATGCAATTTATCTGTGATATCTATCAACAATTATCAATTGAGAGAGAAAAAATAAATGAATTAATGAACATTTGAAGCTACTTATATGCATAGATATCAGGTTCATACTGAACTCTAGATTAATACATATATCAAGAGCATCAGAACTGAGCTTGTTTAGTGTAACAAAATCACTTAGGTGAAGGTAGAAGTAAAATCCAAATCAATTAAGTAGTTTAAAGTTACAATAGGAAAGACAATGAATCAGTAGGGAAAAATAATTTTTATAATACATAAATGACTGCAAAAAACATATTAAGTAATTAACCTTAACCGAAACGAAATTATTAAGGCACATTTAAAAGTGGCGTTATACTCATCAAAGTGCAAATGGAAAGAGCATTGGTAAAAGTCTAGAATAAAAATAACTTTACATTATGCCATAATTGACTGTTCAATTTAATATATTACTACGCAAAATTAATCAATAATCCACTTAACCCACAGACATTTTTATAAATATTGCTCAGAATATGTATTGATAACTTTTTTTTTTATTTTAAAGAGGAGGGCAGTTTTATTATAATTATATTTTAGGAAGATTTTGTATTTTTTCCTAAATATCTTTCATTATCAAATATCGGTCAAGCACTATTATAATTTACAATCTTTTGAAATATATTACTGATTCAACTCGTCAGCAAAAAATTGGGCATCACATCACTTTAAAATATTTTCTTCAACATGTAATGAAGTCTTAAAACAAATACAACTTGTGTAGATCATGTATATATTATTAGTTCTAATGAATTTTGACAGGTTATATGGCTCTATATAAATGGTTGTTTGTTTATATAACCTGAGCAGCTACACGAAGGTTATATTGCAAACATTCAATTTATATACAGTCATATAACCTTCAGAAATCTTTATGACAAATTTATAATACAGCAAACTTCCTTTTTAGAAGAAAAACTATGATTTCTTAATGAAACTGACAGCAGCTGTGTATATAAAACTATATAAACAAACAAACAAATCCTATGAAAAACAATGTTACAAACATGCAGTATTATAAAGTTACACAATTGTCTGTAATGCTAGCATAATACGAGGGTTGTTCAAAAAGTAATAGGACTAAGAGTCTTGCATCTTCATATTCAATTCAATTTAGAATATTTTTATATGTACAGTGATCGAACAATGTTTTCTTCAATTTAAACATAAAAATATTGAATTCTTATTCTTAACGCGTGTTCCCTGTGTTATTGAATAACCATGGTAACAGGCACCCGGCGCAGCACATAAAAAGGTTATTGAAGCTTAGTTGAACTTTTATTTTATTCATAATTTATTTTCTTTTTTTCCCCATTTATTCCACCAACACAATTTATTATATTTAAGTGACATTATGCCCAAATTTAACGTCATTCAGACATGATATGGCTAAATCATCAAGTTTTAAACAGCAGTGGTCATAACGTTAAATGTAGAAATTTGATGTTCGTTAAAAAACTGAAAATGTGTGCGATCGTTAAACTTTGCCAACAAATTGGCGATACTCCTTCAGATATATATGAAAACATAAAATTAACACAGTACAATTAATCGGCTATCAGGATACGCGTTCTCAGCTTGCGCGAACAACTCAAAAACTGCACATACGAAATCACAAACAGGAAAGGATGAGAATGATAGCGGAAAATTGACGGGACGTTAGTGGCGTCAAATAAAAAAGCGCTACAAAATGATCGACGGTAAACAGTCCACGAACTGTCTGGCATGTTTGATTTCTGTATTGGGTCTATTGATTCAGTTCTACCTAAATGATTTGTCTCAAACATAATTATATTTCATTTTACTAGATATATGTGTTATCAATAAATTAATGTTATAATGATTAACAGTAATTATTAATATTTTTCCCAATTTTCTTTTAAAAATGATACGCCGTTCTTAGTAGGAAAATATACTTTTTAGTTGATAACTATTGTTATTTTACTAACATACATCATATTGTTTTAAGGACTTATGATGATATGTGTAAAATAATTCTATTAATCGCATTTTCATTAACATCATAAGTTCATGTCTGTTTATTCTATATTGATTACTATAAGATACAAGAATACGAGAAAACGCGGAGAGTGGCCGGCTATCGGGCTTTTTTTCTCGGAGTGTGGAACAAGAATAAGATCATTTTCTTTCTCGCTTCATCTCCACATATGATGTCTGGTCAGTTACATGATTTAGACACATAGAACACTAGGGAGAATTCTTTCAGAAGGGATGACGCTTGATACATTTTGTTTTTATTTTACGACATCATAAACATCATCTATTGTGCTGTTAGCGTGCGCCGAGTCGCGTACCCCTTGTCATTTGAAATTTTCACAGACTCGTTATTTTTAAACATATTTTATTGATTTTTTCACTGTAAATAGAGGATATGTTCCGATATTATTATCTTGTAAAATTGTGCACGTAAATTAAAAAATGTGAATAGTAGAACTGCAGTCCTATTACTTTTTGAACAACCCTCGTATATCCTATAGTTTGAGCTCTCAAACATAATATTCCTGTCAACTTAATCATGTACATTACTTCATACACAAAAATCAGGAGCAGAAGTTGAAATGGTCTAAATTTCCATCAAGATCTTTACGTAAGCAATTCTCAATGTATTAAATTCATCCCTTAATCTGCTGACCTTGCATAATGGACTTTAATGCTCTAGTTTCAATTTTGAAACAGTCCATTTAAAGTTGAAAGGTTTTCAATACACCAAAATGAAAAAGTCTAGCTTTTATCATACTGCACAGTTGTGTAATGCTTTTAGTTCCAGCAGGTTAGGAGTAAATTAAATCAGTATGTCTGAAAATAATTTACATAGTAAGAAGAAGTATATAGTATATGAACATCTCATCTGCATCTGAGAGGAGTCCACTCTATTTCGAAAAGCATCCAATTGCCATCATCATTAATTTTGATCATTCGAAGAAATTATGCTCGGCTTGCTGAAAAATAAGTTAGAAATTTGTTATGTATGAATGCACACCAACATCAACAATTATCAATTCAATCTTTGATATCTGCTTCGGTAATTGATTCTATGGCTTATTGGTTTACAGCAGTTTTGTTTTTGTTTTTTTAACGATAATGTCTCCTCCAGAGTCGGAGCACTTTGACGTAATGGAAGACCCCATGTGGTCCTCCATGCTTTATGTCTAGCAGAAATGAGCAACTGACTTTTAAGAACAACAAGAACCGGTTGAACCAGGTGATGCTCCCCTGAGAAGGTTTTGGACACAGGAAAGTATAAAAAAAAATAACAAAGGGCAATAACTCCAAAATAAGACAAGACTGTGTTTAGGTTCTTTAGCATTGCAGTTCTATCCAATGAGATCTATCTACCTATAAAGTTTCATGTTGATATCTAATAGTTTTACAAAAGTCAAAAAGAAAAAGAAAAACAAAGGGCAAAAACTTCAAAATAAGGCAAGGCAGAGTTATGATTCTTTAGCACTGCACTTCTACCCAATGATACCTATCTACCTACAAAGTTTCATGTTGATATCTCTTATAATTTTAGAGTAATGTCCCGGACAAAGTTCAAAGTGTCAAACTGAACAAAGGGCAATTGCTCCAAAATCAGGCAAGACAGAGTAACAGTTCTTGTGCACTGCAAACCTACTCAAAGAGATCTATCTATCTGCAAAGTTTCATGTTGATAACTCTTATAGTTTTAGAGTTATGTCCAGGACAAAGTTCAAAGTGTACAAATAAACAAAGGGCAATAATTCAAAAATAAGGCAAGGCAGAGTTACATTCTTGTGCACTGCACACCTACTCAATGAGATCTATCTTCCTACAAAGTTTCATGTTGATAACTCTTATAGTGATAGAGAGTTATGTCCCTGACTAAGTTCAAAGTGAAAAAAATAAACAAAGGGCAATAATTCAAAAATAAGGCAAGGCAGAGTTATGGTTACTCAATGAGGTCTATCTACCTACACAGTTTCATGTTGATACCTCTTGTTGTTTCAAAGTTATGCCCCGCCCCGGACAAGAAAAAGCGGACAGACGGACGGACGGACGGACGTGCCACTTAAATGCACTAAGGGGACATTTCTTTTGTTATTTTCTTTTGTTTAATAGAGGGCCATGGCCCCTTATTCTATTGTTAGGGAATGAACTCTTTTGTTCTCTTTTGTTCTGTTTACAGTTAGATGGCCCCCTATCCCTATTTGGTAGCGCGGACAGACGGACGGACAAGGCGGCGACTATTTATTATATGCTCCCCCTAAATTTTTCGGGGAGCATAAAAACTTCCCTTAAGTTAGCTGGATAGCATCTTCACATGATAAAATCCACAGACTCCAATAGGATTCGAATCCACAGCTTTCAGGGAGAAGTGATTTGAAGTCCTTAGTCAAGTGATATGAATTTTCTAAGTGTTTATTATTTGTAGTGAGCTCAAAGCCCATAGAGAGCCTAATTTTCTCTGATGTATTTTGCATCTTTGTTTGAGGATAATGAAATGCTTGTGAAACTTTAAACAAAGTTTGGTTATACTTGTTGTTCACATATGACTTAAATTCAGTTACAAACTGAAATGGCAAAACCCCAATTCCTAAACAAAAGCCGGTTGAACAGGCTGATGCTCCCTGAGCTCCCAGTTTTGGACACAGAAAAGTATACCTCTAGAGAAATGTACCAGACAAAGTTCAAAAAGTAAAAATGAACAAAGGGCAATAACTCTAAAATAAGGCAAGGCAGAGTTATCGTTCTTTTGCACTGCACGTCTACCCAATGAGATCTATATACCTACAAAATGTCTTATTCATATTTCTTATACTTTCAAAGTTATGTCCTGGACAATGTTCAAAGTGTAAAAATGAACAAAGAGCAATAATTCCAAAATTAAGGAAGGCAAAGTTACTGTTATTTTGCACTGCACTTCTATTTAATGAGATCTATCTACATACAACGTTTCTTGTTGATATCTCTTATGGTTTCAGAGCTATGTCCCGGACAAAGTTCAAAGTGAAAAAATGAATAAAGGACAATAAGTCCAAAATTAGGCAAGGCAGAGTTACGGTTCTTTTGAACTGCACTTCTAACCAATGAGATCTATCTACCTACAAAAATTCATGTTGATACATGTACCTCTTGTTGTTTCACATTTAAGTCCTGGACAAGAATAGCAATTGGACGGACTAGATGGTACTTATGTGACTTTTCCTTTGATCTTTTTTTGCCATTTTTAGTTACACAAGGCTTAAAAAAGACACAAAAGTAACACCAATTGTTATCCAAGTCACACAAGTACCTCTGGGTTTGTACAGACAGTTGGACGGACAGATGGACAGACAAAGGGGGGGCTATATGCTCATCCTTTGGGGAGCATAAAAACTACCTTTTGTTCTAATCCTTGACAATCTTTCCGAAAGGACCATCATATCCATATAGCAATGTTCTGTCATCATCATCAGGAAAATCTTTCTTAATTTCCCATTCTTCTTCTTTCCTTTTAAATTTGATTAAAATTCTCTCATAAGTTTTCTCTCCTTTATTAACTCCTGAAGCAAGGTCTGAAATATTCTGAGGTGGTAGTCCTGTGACACACGCCTGTGTATGAATTTCATAATTTCCCTGTCTCTCATTATGCTGTTCAAGTAATTGTCCATGCTTATTGGTATGCTTCGAAGACTCTTTCTTACTTACAAGTGCAGAACAGTTGTCATTGGTAGTTTCCTTTCTGCTTGACCTTTTAATACGTTGATTGCCTCTTATAGGACGTTTCCCTTTCATGCCATGTTTAACATCTTGGTTTGGGCCATTGTTTTCAATATGGGTTTTTTTTCTTCTTTTCTTAGACTTTGTTTCTTCTTGTCCTAAATCAACAGTTTCACTTTCAAATGTACTTTTATCTAATAATATGTCTGTTTCTTCACATTCAAGTGTACTGTTCTTTCTATCAAATTCATTTTGTTCTTCTTTTGACAGATTTGCACCTTTATTACCTACATGTATATTTGACTGGTTTTTAAGATGACTGTCTTTATTTAATTGTTCTAAATCAGGATTGCCTTCCTTAAACTGCTGGTGGAAATCTTTATTTCTGTATGCAATGTCATCTTGATCATCATTAGATCGGGTTTGAAATTTTAAGCTTTGATGGATGAAGTTTTTTACAAATCTAGGCATGTCAGAGGGATCTAATAATTCAAGAACACTGTTAACTTTACATTGAACATCTAAAAATTTACAATGATAAACTGGCAGACGTGACTGAATTTTTGCCATAATTCTGCTGTAATCTTCAAGATTAGTTAATCCAAAGCTTTCTGTCCTGGCTTTATTTGCTTGAAATTCCTGAAAAGACTCTTGGGGGACTTCATGATCTGTCTCAACCAACTTTGCTATTGAGGAACTGTCTTTCACTGTTGCATCACAATGTGGTAAACATTGTACATCTTCTTCATCTCCAAACAAAACATATGGCAGTTGTGCTACAAACACAGAAAAAAGTTGTTACAATAAACAAAAGGATCATATTGCCCTTAATCATTCACCATAGGATATGGAGTAAATCATAAAATGGACAAGATTTAATTACCTGGACATTCCTAGTAATTCAATTTTTATCAAAATCATCCAATGGGGTATGGCAGATGTTAAAAATTCATATTTTAAATTATTTTTGTGTGAAGCATGTAACCATTTTTAAATCGCAAATTTTGTAAAGGATCATCTGATTATCATTTTATGCAGAGGTTCATTTATATGTGAAGCATAATTGATAAGGATGTATCAATAAAAGCTTATGTCTGGTCCACCTGACATTATGTTTCATGTTCATTATCTAAGCTCCAGCTGCTATGGTTTCAAAGGAGATGATTTTAAAGTGTTTACCACATGCATGTAAGGAAAACCCATGACTTGCTGGGAATGGCCAACTATACAATGTTTTATGCCAAATATCACAGCTCATATGCTCAAGCTTAAATTGTATAAGAGGAGATGATTTCTAACGATTTTACCTAATGTATAAGGTAAACCTATGGGACCTCTGGGGGCAATGCCAATTTTGACCGGAAGACAATTATTTGGACAAGCATGGTATTAGACCATTACAGGATGTTTCATGCTAATTATCTTAGCTCTTATCTTTATGGTTTAAGAGATGATTTTAAAAGGTTTTTCTTTTGGTAACACCATGGTAGTCAGAAATCTGCATGGAATGATTTTCTTTGATCACCTTTTAAACAGGATCACAAAAGGATCTTTCTAAGAAAGAATTGATAAAATTTGCCAAGTGATTTTGAAGGAGTTTGTGGATGCCAAATGATAACTTTGAGTGATAATAATAGTTTACCTTGAGTATGTTGAGCTCTGGTGAGATAAATATATGTCATGTTCCTTGTCCACAGTTCAGATTTTACAAAATGGTTAATATTCACTTGCTAAACACTCACACATGTGAATACAAGACGGTCATGATGGCCAATATTAATAGCAGGGCTTTTATTTGAACAAACTTGGTAGACATCCACTAGAAGATATTTCATGCTTAATATCCAAGCTCTAGCTATTTGGGTTTTTAAAAAGTAGATTTTAAATTTTTACAATATACAAATAAGGAAAATCAATGACCCCCCAGGGCCAATTTTGACTACCAAAGGAACATTCCTATGAAGTTTGGATGAGATTGGCTTAGCAGTTTATGAGGAGATATTATAAAGTAAAAGTTTAAGGACGGAAACCAGGACGCCGGACGAAAAGCGATCACCAAAGCTCACCCGATGATGTCACTTTGAGACAGGTGAGCTTAAACAAGAGCCCAATTTGAATCGGGTGATGCTCCCCGAATAGGTTTTGGACCCAGGATAGTACACCTCTTGTAGATTCAGAGTTATGTCCCTGGAAAAAGTTCAAAGTGCAATAATTCCAAAATTAGGCAAGGCAGAGTTATTGTTCTTTGCACCGCACTTCTAATCAATGCGATCTATCAACATACAAAGTTTCTTGTTGATATCTCTTATGGTTTCCGAGTTATGTCCCGGACAACTTCAAAATGTAACAAGAATTTGTAACAGAGTTACCTAAGTCCCCCGCCTTGGGCAAGTTTTATATGAAGCATAAAATTGTGCTATTTCAAAAGATTGAAGTATGGATCTTAGGACTTTCAGTCCAAAATTATGATCAATGTTAGATCTGCAAATGCAACAATAAATTTATTAAAGAAATAAAATGAAACACTGAATTTAAAAATCTATCATGTTAAGCTTTGACCTCTAAGTGTGACCTTGACCTTGGAGGTAGGGGTGCATGTGTTGTGCATGACATATCGTCTTATTATTGTAACTATTTGTACCATGTATTTTCAAAATCCCTTGAACTATAAAGAAGTTATACGATGGGACACCAAAAAGTATACCCTCTTAATAGACTATGTTTAATCTTTGGAACCTCCTTAGTGTGACCTTGACCTTGGAGGTAGGACACTGGTGTTACCCATGACATATCATCTTATCATTGTGACTATTTGTGAAGTATTTTCAAAATCCCTTGATCTATGCAGAAGTTATGGACAGGACACAAAATATACCATATAACAGACTCTGTTATTTTGACCTCTAAGTATGACCTTGACCTAGGAGGTAGGGTGCAGGTGTTGTACTTGACATATCGTCTTATTATTGTGACTATTTGTGCAAAGTTATTTCAAAATCCCTTGAACTATGAAGAAGTTCTACATTGGACACAATACATACCCTTTAAAAGACTATGTTAATTTTTGACCTCAAAATGTGACCTTGACCTTGGAGGTAGGGATGCTGGTTTGTGCATGACACATCGTCTTATTAAAGTGAATATTTGTGCCAAGTATTTTCAAAATCCTTTGATATAAGAAAAAGTTATGGACCGGACACAAAATATACCCTATAACAGACTATGTTAATCTTTGAACTCCAAGTGTGACCTTGGAGGTTGGTGACCGATTGTTGCGCATACGACACATCATCTCATTATTGTGAACAATTGTGGCAAGTATTTTACAAAATCCTTCAAAGATAAGAAAGTTATAGACCAGACAGAGATATACCCTCAAATAGACAATGTTGACCTTGAATAAGCAAGTGCGACCTTGACCCTGGAGGTAGGGGTCTGGTTGTTGCGCATGACACATCCTCTTACTATAACAAACATTTGTGCCAAGTTATTTCAAATTCCTTTGATAAATGACAAAGTTATAGACCGGACAAGAAATATACCCTGTAACAGACTATGTTAATCTTTGACCTCCAAGTGAAACCTTGACCTTGTAGGTAGGTGACCGGTTGTTTCGCATGACACATCTTCTCATTATTGTGAACAATTGTGGCAAGTATTTACAAAATCCCTTCAAAGATAAAATAGTTATGGACCGGACACGACATATACCCTCAAATAGACAAACATGACCATGAATAAGCAAGTGTGACGGACGGACAGGCAGACGGATGGACGGACAGACGGACAAGGCGCCGACTATATGCTTCCCCTGAAATTTTTTTGGGGAGCATAATAAAATGATCAATGTCTGGATTTACATGCACAAAAAATGTACCAACAAAAGTGTCAATTAATCACACAAAAAAATCCTTCACTTATGCACAGTATGCTCCAGCTTTACTGCTGAATGAAGATATAAGGTACCCCTCCTTACATTTTTTCAGGTACGAGAGCAGCTGAATAGAACCACTGACACATTAGCTAACTTGATAGCTTCCTCACATGAAGTAATCCAAAGTCTTAGGCAGGATTCAAACCTACAAAGGTGAGGGGCAAGTGCTTTGAAGTCAACAAACCACCTGGCCACAGATGCACCTCTGAATATAACCATGGCCACAGGGACTTGAAAGTTTGTGTTTTTACACTATGCCTCACAATATTGAACATTTGTGCTAAATAATGTAACAATGAATAAGTATTTTGTCTGACCTTTAAGAGTCACCTTGACCATTCAAATAGAGACCTGCTTTATGTGTGCAACACTATATTCATGATGGTGAATACTTATTTCATTCAAGCATTTGTCAAGATTTTCTATACATATATGTCATTGCAAGGTCAATACAATTTTTACACCAACATTGTGAGTGACTCCCATGTTAAGATTTTATCCTCTGACTGCTCTTGAAGGTTGAGGGGAAGGACATCTCCCAGGGGTTTGGTAGTCAAAATTCAAAGTCACTGCTATTTTCCAAGGAATGGTAGGTCTTGGTTACAACTGACTTGTATATAGACTTACAATTTGAAAAATCTTAAATATTTACCTAGGTTTGGACCTTGGTGTTCATTCAATGGTCTCGGTGCAGCTGAAGACACCTGTAACATTGGAAAATATTAATTGTAAGAATAAAAAAAGGAACTTCTCAACATTTTAATGTACATAGAAAGTATATTCATTAATCATCAATTAGGATTTTCATAGCTATTATTTCACATGAACAATATTGCATTTAATATTAGAAAATTATCTAATATGAAAAATATTGCATTTAATCCTAGAAAATCATTTAATATGAATAATATTGCATTTAATCCTAGAAAATAAGTTGGCTAATTCAGAATAACTGCAGACAGTGAATTTAGTTGATGATTATGTATCTTATTTATAAATTCTTTTATTTCTAAGGTGACACTTGTTTTAAAGGATTGACTGATGTCATTATGTTGTGGAGAGTTTATTTAATAGCAAAATTTCATTTAAAACTACATGCCTCAAGATGAGCAAAAATATTTTGATAAAATCAAACCTGAGAAAAATTTACTAAAATTTAAGGATAAAGTAAATAGATTCAACACTTAAGAAACATTTTACATGTTATGTAAGATTAATGATTAGTTTTTCAGTATTTATAACCATTTTTTTACAGTGTTACTAATAAAGAAAAGGCTTATTTTTTATATTTTGACCTCATTTTGGTAATTTACATGGGATGTGAGGGTTGTTTGTAGTGTGTAAATTGCTTCCTTTTTGGTTACTTCACAATATTTTACTTTTAAATACATTTTCAAAATTTTAATGAAAATTAGCATGTATCTGGAGGCCTGATGCTTTAAGTACCAGTACAATTAAGTTGGGTACACTGCCAATGTGTAAAACAATTAGCAACACATTAAAGAAAAAAAACACACATTTTTGTCATTAAAATTTGGCAGCACAATAAAGTCAATGTCTGTGATATTCAGGCAACAATTTAACAAACAATCTACGATTTATATGCCTGTGAGTGAGACAAAGTTTACTTACTGCTTGTATTTTTAAATGAATACAAAATCAAATCTATGGAGTTTTGTTTGAATGGTTTTTAAATTGTTACACCTGCATGGACTGAGATAATCAAGTGACTATACATTTTGGATACTTAAAGATGGCATGAAAATTATTAACTTTCTTTCTTACTTTTTCTGTTGGATATGTTCAATCGAACAAGCACAGCTGCACTGTCAAGATATGGCAATTTAACAGCTTTATTGGTGTAGGAAGGCCATAAATATATATTTCTGTATTATTTCAGACAATCTTGTGTACAGAATTAGAACCACAAATACTCAGTTTTTAACCCATTACTTCATATACACGCCTTTTAACGCCTTTTTCACCCCCCCCCCCTTTTTGTTGTCTCAAATGGTGAAAAAATGCATTATTTTGGCCCTTAACACTTGTTTTTGTTTGAGAAATGTTGTTAAAAAAAGTGACCACTTTTTCGGCGCGGCCCCCCCCAACCAAAAGATACATCAGGGGGTTGCCAGAAGGGGATGTGCCCCCTTCTGTTTGGGGGGTTTTGAAGGGGGGCGGAGTCCCCCATCGCCAAGAAAATTTTGGACTTGTGAGAGGCTATAAATGACCCCAGATTGATTTGCATAAGGTAACGTCTAACCAACGCTGAAATGCATTTGACTCTATCTCAATCCATTGAGAAGTTGCAGCACTTTGAAATCAATTATGATGGAAAAAATCAACGCAAAATAGTGATTTTTTGGCAATTTTGAGATGTCCCCTCGTTGCCATGGTAACAGGAAATTTAAGCCTGAGCATGTTGTTGCAAGGGCAATGGTCCAGTCAACATTTGTGCCAAGTTTGATTAGTGTTGAAGCAGTTTTTATAGTATTATAGCAATTTGAACTTGTAACGGGAGACTTTTCAATGAAAACAGCCATTTTTCACAAAATGCTCATGAAGCAATGGGTTAATGAAAAAAATAAAAAAATCTACAAAACAACAATTTTTCTTCAAATTTATATGACAGGCCATGTTTAAACATGGAAAAACGCAATATAGAGTAATTTCAAGTATTTTCATCATTTTCTGTTAACCCATTACTTCATATACACGCCTTTTAACGCCTTTTTCACCCCCCCCCCTTTTTGTTGTCTCAAATGGTGAAAAAATGCATTATTTTGGCCCTTAACACTTGTTTATGTTTGAGAAATGTTGTTAAAAAAATGACCACTTTTTCGGCGCGCCCCCCCAACCAAAAGATACATCAGGGGGTTGCCAGAAGGGGATGTGCCCCCTTCTGTTTGGGGGGTTTGAAGGGGGGCGGAGTCCCCCTCATCGCCAAGAAAATTTTGGACTTGTGAGAGGCTATAAATGACCCCAGATTGATCATAAGGTAACGTCTAACCAACGCTGAAATGCATTTGACTCTATCTCAATCCATTGAGAAGTTGCAGCACTTTGAAATCAATTATGATGGAAAAAATCAACGCAAAATAGTGATTTTTGGCAATTTTGAGATGTCCCCTCGTTGCCATGGTAACAGGAAATTTAAGCCTGAGCATGTTGTTGCAAGGGCAATGGTCCAGTCAACATTTGTGCCAAGTTTGATTAGTGTTGAAGCAGTTTTTATAGTATTATAGCAATTTGAACTTGTAACGGGAGACTTTTCAATGAAAACAGCCATTTTTCACAAAATGCTCATGAAGCAATGGGTTAAAGGTGAATGATTTAAAGTCAGCAGTTATAAAGAGGATATTTGGTTAGTTCAGTGTAAGATCAGAATATATTTCACTGAGTGAGCACAGGTATATTTCACGAGTGAAATATAAACTTTTGGTGTTCATGAGGTGAAATTTATTTTGATCTTTACACTAAACTTAATTTTCTTTTTACGAGGGGTGATCCAAAAATTCGTGGACAATGTGTGTATCTCCATAATGTGATATCCTACCTAGGTGAACTTTTTGGATATTATTAATCAATGCTTTTTTAATAAATTGACCAAATTTTGAAACAACAATTGCATTTTTTATCTATATATGACAACATCAAAATATTAAGTATCAAAATCGCAGCACAGCTTACTTTTTCTCTGTGATGTAAACATTTTCATCTCATTTAAACCCATGTAAAACCTGTGCAAACAAAGAAAATTGCGGGAAACGTTATAATAACATTGTTTTGATGTGTATGACGTCATTCTGTCTGTATCAGAAAATATGATAAACCAGATCCACAAGGAAAGGCCGCGTTCAATGAACGCAACCCCCATATGACCCAGCAACGAGAACCAGTGGCAAGGAGCCCAGGCGGACCCCAAACAAAAACAGGACAGGGCAATAACAGAGCACTGACAGGTTAATCATTAAATGATAAATAATTTGTAACTGGTTAGGAATTCAAAGAAAAGAATAATAGGCCCACAAAGGGGAAGGGGACAGGAGACCATGGGAAGGGGGGGGGGGGTTAATCAAAGAAATAAAAACTAGAGGCAATGGGGAAGATACTTACCTTGGACGAGAAAACAACAAGGGAGACAAGCAAAAGTGTCACCAAACAGTATGAAACAACATAGACATACATCTGAGGAACACAGAGGGGCGCCGCCTTGGAACCGTCAGCAGCATAATAATGACTGCTGGGGAGTTTAAACCTGTTAATGGTGCACCAAACCTCGCTCTTAGCCCCACCATGTTCCTATAAACGAGACAGTGTAAATAAAATGAATCCCTGCCAAGTGAAATTCTAACAGTTGTCATGGTTACAAAAGGTTAAATAAGTAAAACACTAAAATGATCATGTAGAAACATATAAAAGTAAACCCAATGACCATAACAAAACTACTCAATGTCCTAAAGGAAGACAGAGCAACAAGAAAATCACCTACAAGGGCCCGACGAAGAAAGACAGAAGACAAACATTAAGACAATTCAGTACCAAAGGGCTTTACGAACTATCCATCATAGAGTCTCCCACTTGGTCCGTCAGATGTAATCAAAAGAGGAAAGCGTAGTGTCCAACTGTAAAAGGCTAGAACACTAAACATGCAGTATGTCTTAAAATAGTAGGGTTTTTTGAAAAAAGACATTTTGAAGTTGCGTAGTGTCCAACTGTAAAAGGGTTGAACACTAAACATGCAGTATGTCTTAAAATAGTAGGGTTTTTTGAAAAAAGACATTTTGAAGTTGCGGTTATTTTACGCTCGTGCTTTAAAGAACAGGTGCTAAAAACAGCTTTATCAAAAATGGACATCATGGATCCAGCAAAGCTTCAGACAGTTATACAGTTCTGTGTAAATCTTGGAAAGACGCCTGGTGAGACAAAAACAATGATCGAAAGTGTGACAAATAAACTGTCGGTGTGTCTTTCTCTAGTTTATAAGTGGCATCGCCGATTTTCGGATGGAAAGGAAAGTGTTGGGGATGATTCACATACTGGTCGACCTGTCGAGGTAAGAGACAAAGAAACTGTTGAAAGTGTGCGTGTGAAGATTAATGAAGACAGAATCTATTTAAAATTCAATTCTTCAGCATGATAATGCACCTGTTCACCGTGCCCGGGACACACAGCTGACCATTCAAATCCAGCTTGGAACAGAGGTACTCAGTCATCCACCATATTCGCCTGATCTTTCTCTGTGTGACTTCGCCTTGTTTCCCAGGTTAAAGAAAGAGTTGAGAGGGAGACGTTTTGACAATCTGGACGAGTTGAGAGGAGCCACCCAATGTATTATGTCATCATTCAGCCAGAAATGGTATGCGAGTACATTTAGAGACTGAGTCCGCCGCCATGAAAAATGTGTGCGGGTTAAAAGGGAATACTTTGAAAAGTTATAAAGCAAAACAGTAACGTAGATAACTTCCTATGATAGCATAACGTCGTTTGTGACGTCGTAAGCTGCGCCCGTTTTGTCATGTCTATGTATATAAACTGGTGCAGAAACGTTAATTCTTGTACAATCTTTACAATATTTTGAGAATTTGCCGACATATGCTCACTTAAAAAGATACTAGAATTTCATATGATTTACTTTATTACTTTTTGTTTTATGCAGGGTGTCCACGAATTTTTGGATCACCCCTCGTATTATATGCAAAGAAACATTTGAACCTAACACTTAATGA